AATTTATCTAGAAAAGTTACTTTTATATCCAGAAAATTTATCTTTATATTAAGATTTTAATTAAAAAGTAGTTATTAATAAAAATCACTTTAATCGACATTTCAAACTAAGAATTGATAGTAGTATACTAGAATTAGCCTAAGAGGTTTCTTACCTCACTTCTCTGTGGGATCAATACTGGGGTCTTAAAAGAAAACTCTATATTACTTGAAACGATACATATACTTAGTACCCCTAGTGTGTAAACTATTTTCTAATTTTTAAAATATTTTGGTTTTGCACACTAGCCGCTAAATATAAATATGGTCAAGTTTTTTGTCATCTTTTGGAAGCTAAATTAATGTGTATGTGTGGGTCGGGTCAGCCGCTCATCTAGGCCCTACGAGGACTAAGGCAACCCCAGAGAGCATTTTCTCCATATTAGAAAGCTCTCATCAAAGTCTAAAATGTGTTCATTAAAATGTCCAATAAACTTATTTTTTTCACTCATTTTAACTCATGAGAATGTTACACATAGCTAAAAGAACACATGTCTTGATTTTTTGGCCTACTCACCAAGTTAATGTGAGTTGCTCTCCCTTACTTATCCCAATATTGTTACTTCATCAATACATCAACACTCTAATCGGCAATATGATGACCTTATCTTGTAATCATCGATTAATTCATTGCTTAGGAGTCATCCACATTTATTCATTAATGTTTTGACCATAATGTCACATGCATATAACTATAATCATATTTTTTTAATTATTTTTTTACAAAGTCGAGATGTAGTATTTTCTTCAGCGCCCAAAAGTCTTATAAATAGACAATTAAAATGGCATTTTTGGAGGATGATATTTTTGGATATTTTGTGCTAGCAACAAAATCCTTAGAGTTTATTTCTCCTTCTATCTTTTTATTCTTTTCTTCCTCTTTTTTTTCAAATTTTATAAATGTTTGTTTATTTTATAGGACCTTACAAGTAAAGCTAGTAGAATTTTGACATTTCAATGAAAAACCATAATTCAATATATACTAGAGGATTTGTGTAACTCAAGGCTCAACAAATTTTGGGTTAGAGATGACTTAAACTAATCCAAGATAAATGACTTATGGGCAATTAAATTTTAACCCTTATGATAATTTGATCATCCTAATTCAAATTAATATGAATGTACAATGATAACTTTTTTCATTCATTACTTACTAGTTATTGTAATCCATAAAATTTTCTTAGTTGAGAAACTCTGATAACAATAATTTTGAAGGGACTTTATTGTCTAGATCATATTTATTAATATAAACCTTCTTATCTAATAGAGAAAATGTTTTAAGCTTATTTAAAAGATAGGCTTTTGTTTCTTAAAATATGAAAGAATTTAAAAGGGCAAACTTACATTTATCAGTAATTCATGATAGAAGATTCATAGCGGTAGAGTAATAATTTAGAGTTTTAACATTGATTGAAGATCCAGCACACACACACA